TAATGAACTAGACGTTGGATCCTACCTTAAATAACAAAAAAGTCAACGGTGTCTTTCACAAAAGGCAACACAGAAACGAAAAATTGGTTTCCGTTTACGTGAAGAGAGCTCACGAAGAAGCTGAATTGCCTCAACTACGTTCATCTATTTATACTTTGTCTTCAAAACTCATTGTTTTATTTGTGGAGAGGAGGAACCACGAGACTTCGCGGAGAAACAAATCAAAAAGCAAAACGAAATCTAGTATCCACTGTGGGGAAATTAGCTGTTAGAGAAACTGTTTTATAACTCGCGAGAAATCGTAATGATGATTTTGGACGTTCTGTAGTATATTACTTAGAGGCAGTAAATGACTTGTCAGCTACTGATGCACATTCTTATTTGATGTGCATGAAAGCACCGCATCAGCCCCAAATAAGACGGGTAGACAACCCCAAAGTCAGACCCTGCATAGATTATGTAAAATCATCGATGCAAACTATTTTTCATTGAAGAACTGATAAAAATGATTGAAGGTGATTTTTTTCCACATCCAAAAATAGTTAAAGCACGTGTACCTTATGTTGTATGTTTCAAGGATGTACAGATATCCCGCGCGAGCAAATACGTTCATACTCTTTCTATGAGTATCGGAGTGTTAATCATTTTACAACGCCAATTATTTGTACATAAAAGCTGTTCTAAAGCATTCGAGTCTTTAAAGGGAGTCCGTGAGGCTGATTTTTGTACACGCCGGAACGCGATGCTCCAGGGAGCTTTTAACGATGGCATGGAGACTTCGCCAGATCGAATGCTACGATATTCTGCACGTTGGAACCACAGTAATTACGACATATTTGCGGGGAAAGTCCCTCCTCAATTTCCTTTGGATGCCGTGCCGCTGACGTGACAAGTCCAACTCATTGAGGCCAACCGGACCTGGAGCCTAAGACTCTCATCTTAGCGTGAGACGGCATGAGTATTCCTCCGATTTACATGATTCCTTTCCACGGTTGATTGATTAACTACTGGTTCCGGGTGTGTCAACAGCTAAGTTAGTCCCGTAACTAAAGTGCAAGTTTTAACGAGGGAGGCAGCAGTGATCTTTCTGGATTCTGATCTCACAGCTGGATGGCGAGATACGGCGCCGTCCTACAAGTCTGCTTACGGGGTTTTCCCCAACCAGGTATCTCCCATCAACGAGAAGCTACAGTCGAAAAAGCTCTAAGCTCCCGAACGGTCTCCCGAAATGGCGGCGGCGATGGTGTAACGGTTAGTGTATCAGCTTGTTATACCCATTCTCGTGGGTTCAACTTAAATTTGAACCCAAATTCAATTATCATTTATCATTAAGGTTCCCATTTCGGGTTGTCCACGTATGGCTGATGATTTTCTTTCAAGCTGCCTAGTGTTGGAATTTGTGGCATTGAGGCGATATATCATTTGCCAGGAAGGAAATATATTTTCAGGTTGTTGTATTTCCTGTCTCACTATAACCGAGGTGCAGGTTCACTATAACCGAATCTTCTTATGCTAATTTGTAATGTAAGTTGAACGGGAGTAGTAACTGCAGTTCACTATAATCAAGGGACACTACATGCGAGTTTACTATAACCCGAGTGAACTGTATGGAGATGCATTCAATTGTTCGAATTCAATTCTCTGTGATAGGTAAGATATACAAGAAAGATAATGTAAGGAATCTCCACCTCAACGTATGATAACAAACATCCCTCTTAAGTTACAATATCTCATTTCCTTTTCAACATTACAGCAAATCAGTCACGTGTGAATTAAGGTCAAACGTTGTAAGGTCGCAAACATGTCCTGTCACATGATAAAACCGATAAATTCATCAGATAAAATAACAAGTGTGTGCGAATTGCATCTTAAAGTAACAATTCAAGGGCATTGCAGAGTATATTGATAATGTTACCAAAAACCATTATTCTGTACCGAAATAACAAACCAGCTTAGTGGTAGAGTATTAAGACTTTTTAAAAGGGTCCGAGGTTCTTTCCGTCTGCTCAAATCATAATTTCCGTATATCGCCAGTCCTCTGCGACATGGGAAAATTGATTTGTCTGCATTCCATTGCTTAAAAAGTATCACGTGACCAAAGTTTGCTATAATTCGAATCCTTTTTACTTTCCCGTATACGTAAATTTAAAAATTTTGAAAAATGTTCTTCAAAATTGCTGGTACTTTATATGAAGACATTCGGACATTGTCAGCATTTTCTCAAAAACGGCTCAAATTTTCCTTTGAATTTCTTGTAATGATGTAGTAAAATACACTTATAAAGGTGGCATAGGTCCTATTTCCACTGTTAACTCTGCTTTTTTGATAATTGAAAAAGTTTGCAATTCTTTCCGTGTCTTCTTACAACTGTAAATTAAAGATAGAGATTTTTTTCTTCAAATAAAAGTTGTTCTCCATAGTGAGTTCTTTCATTAAGGTCATATACACTTGTTTTCGTAGTGGTTTTCGTACAATATTGCGTTAAATATGTGCAATTTAAGAAAAAAATTGCAAAAAAATTACAAAAAATATTTGCAAAAAAATTAAAAAAGATTTTATCAAAAACGGTTCCAAATTTATTCTTCAAACTTTTGGTGGGGATAGTGCTAAATGTACTTTAAAAAGTGACGTAGACGCCATATTGTTGTATTCTTTTGTTTTTTGAAAAATTACAAAAATTTAGGTATTGACTTGTCTTTCACGTAGATAATATTTACACTACCGTTGATTTGTACACATTATACTTATAAATACATGTGCTTTAAATAATGTCGAATAAAGATAGTCAAAAGCTCCATGGTTTTCTGTGAAAATTAGCTCAAAATTTCGCATTCTCAGAAACGCTCAAACGCCATTTTCTAAAAAACAGTTCCAAATTTTGTCCTCAAACCTTTTGAGGAGATAGAGCTAATTTCACTTTTTAATATGAAGTAAAGTTCATTTCCGTGTATTTTTTTCAAAAATTACACTAATATAATTTTTTTGAAAGATTTATCATGGATTTAGTATGAACATTTCCAGCAATTTGTAAACATTGTTGCATTTGTGAATGGAAGTGCTTGAAATGACTTCATATTATGTTTCTCGGAAACTCAAAAGCTTTTTTGCGGAAAGAGGTTCAAATTTTGCCCTTACAGTAGCGCTTGAACGAGAGTTTTTTTAAAACGGTTCCAAATTTTTCAATGAAAATTGCCATTTAGGACGAGGCTTTACTGTTCTTTAATAATATTAAAATAATATTCCCGCTCTACAATTAGGAAACCGAAAAATCAAGAAAATGTCAAAAAAAACGTGTTTTGTCGGCGATAGACGGCAGATGACAAGCGTATGTGGCAAGTCCGCTAGCCGAGACCAAAGGAATTAGAAAACTAATACTGGAAAGTTTGTGCTATTCTGTAGCAGCACTAGTTTTGAATAAACTAGGTTTTTTCCATGGGCGGATGGGCGCCCGAGACCGAAACGAGGGAGATGAAAGGGAAGGGAATGAGAGGAGACGTGTTAACATGAGTATTTCACGTAGTTACATCAGATGTGTTTGTCGACTTGTAGGTTTTTATTGGTCTTAAGTCAGAACAATTTTCTTCGAAAGCAATTGCTCTCATAGTCACGAGGAAATCTTTTATAATACACTTATAATGTCCTGGAAGTTAAACGCGCACGTTGTTTGACCCCACCAAAGGGAGTACTTCACGGTACTCTCTCTCTCTCTCTCTGTCTCTCTCCCTCCCTCTCTTTCTCTGTCTCTCTCCCACCCTCTCTCTCTCTCTGTCTCTCTCCCACCCTCCCTCTCTTTCTCTGTCTCTCTCCCACCCTCCCTCTCTTTCTCTGTCTCTCTCCCACCCACCCTCTCTTTCTCTGTCTCTCTCTCTCTCTCTCTCTCTCTCTCTCTCTCTCTCTCTCTCTCTCACTCACTGCCAACAGGAAAACCAACCACAACCTTCGCGGAGGGTTTGAATACCTGGACCAGAAACAAACTTTAAAATAAGTATAACTTGTAAAGCTGAACAAAGGTACTTGTGAGTAGTACTACATACTCCACCTTGGGTAAATAATTAAAAATAATACCAATATATAGCCTCTTTTTATTATTTAAACCCCTTCCTATAACCCATACGTCCACAAAATATTTATTCTTCCACCACTGTCCCCTATTCCTACATAACAGATGTTCCCAATTATACTATTAGATAGTTTTAAAAATGTCTAGTAAATACTGTACTAGCTTTTAAGATACGTATCACGCAGAATAAAACCTTTTGGATTGTAAAAAAAATTTAAAAATAACATATCTCGCAATGGCCTTTTCTGGCATGCAGATTACTGTATCTTCATCTTACCTGGGTGAATGCCCAACAGAATGAAATCCTTAAATACCCGTCCGAATCAGATCCCGTATTTACTCAGCCAGGGATCGACGCTATCAAAGAGTAAAATGTCTATGACCGTTGTAGTGTGTGTCTCTTGCGGTGCAAAGGAAGATAAAAAATAGTTGATAGCATCAAATCTATGAAGGCTATATTCTACTTTTTGATCTCATTGTCTGTACAGCATGTTCTATATTGTTTTTGTGTAACATGCCTAGTCTGTGTGGCCTGGTGTGTATAGTATTGGTAGCATTGGGCGCTCAAGTGGTGGCAATCAACAACTGAGCCGAAGTCGGAGTTGGGACAATCAACAGGCTGCCAGAGGTCGCCCATTCGATGACAACCACAACGTATTTACTAGGCTGTCCGGGTGAGGCCGCGTCCATGGCGAAGGTGCCGACGTTTCGGTCGCCATTCTGCGACCTTCCTCAGGGCTTAATAAGGAAGGTCTCAGAATGGCGACCGAAACGTCGGCACCTTCGCCATGGATGCGGCGTCACCTGGACAGCCTAGTAAATACTGACTCCGGCCGCGGAAGCCTACGCTCTCAACCAAATCGTATCTTACCTGCGAGATGCGGAGCAAGGTCATTTCCCGCATGTTGCCGAAAAAGGGCTCGGGCGGCAGGAAAGGGACGCCCTTGCGGCGCCAGTAGTCGAACGTGGCCGTGAAGTACCAGTAGAGCAGCGCGAAGGCGACAGCGACGGCGGCGACCGCCACGCCCAGCACCGGCACCCCCATAGCCCTGGAACACGCGCCTCCCGTGGTATTATAGAGCGTTTAGCCCGTTCGTATCCTATTCACATACGCACGTGGCTTGCATTAGAACTGCAACGCCGAACCCACCTCCTACAAGGTGAAATATTAGGGAGTTTTAGCGCCAAGAGTAAGGTAGCGGCGTTATGCACTAACAGTCACATGGCGGACCTAGACGTCATTACATCTTACCTTAGGGCTAAGGTTCGACCTTGTACCTTCATAAATAGTGCACACCTGTAAGAGTCTCTACGGTCACATTACATACGGCAAAATGGCCGCCTAAAAACAAGAAAAGTAGAATTTTTCCAACTCTGATAAACCGATTCTCGTACGTAATGTTGTTACAATTATTCGTTACCGACTCTACAATGCTGGCTAGAAATAACGGTATATGTTAGAGGCGTGATAGGAAAGAAATTCACGAAAAAGGAGTTCAAATCATATCTTCGGGATAGGTTATGTCTTATGCTCATAATGAACGCTGTTTAAAGATTTTTTTATATTTTCAAGAAAAGCCGAATCAAAATTCCAGACTGCATACTCATCATGGAGGGCCACAAAATCTAAAACTCCATGCACAATTTATATTTGTTATTATATTGACCCGTAACTGTTTTAAATGTCTTACCACCAGCCTACACTCTTTGATATATTATGCTACTTCTTTGTGTGAAAACACGAAAATGTGAAGTTATATATATTTAGAGATCGCTATACGCATTTAGAACAATGTACTGATATTAAGAATGATCTTGTGTTCTATAAAACATAGAAGTTCTAATAGTATATTTGAATACTCGTTATTCTACGGAAGAATAGATACTATTTCTTCTTTCTGAGCCTCAAAGTCTTATTACTCCACATCAGAATTGTTGAGCCATATATTCTTGTAGGCCAAACAGTAAGAAAGATATACCAAAATATATTGCCAAGACAGCCAGAATATATCTGATCATTTCGTGGACATTTTCGAGTAGAGCTCTACAAAATACTCTAAATGCTCGCATTTTCTTCATGAAAAAGAAAAAGATGTTAAAGTTTGATATTCATTATTATTATTATTATTATTATTATTATTATTATTATCATCATCTATTGTATGGGTAAATAATTTTTTGATTGCGAGGAGACAACCAGTAGCGCTTGTTTCGCAGTATTATCGTTTAGGCTCGCTACTAGATAGCGCTTTTTACACCGCGAGATCAATGCAATAGTAACTAGAGGGGTGGCTGGTGAAATGACTGTGATCCACAATGATGATAGAGCTGTGGAATGCTAGGCACAGACGTAAGGAGAACTGTGAAAAAATCTATCACGAACACATTTTATTCAGCACAAATTTCACAAAGAACGTGCAGGATTTGAATACAGGCACTCACTCGGTGTGTCTTCCCTCTACACCAGAGGTTATTCGGTCTGACACGTTGACTAATTCTCCCATCGCTCTCATATGTCTGTGTACTGACCCTCATATGGTACTCAATGTTCACCTGATGGTCGCCGTTTTGGAAGTCCAAATTCGTCGGAATTATTTTCCGCCCGGTACATGAGATTCACAATGCCCCCCCCCCAGTAATGGGTAACAAAACTATTTCACGATTAAAATTTGTATTATGCAATTTCAAATGGCTGTACAATCGTGGTCAGGCTTTTATAGCATTACATTAATGTTACTACGAAGACAGTTACACCGGAGCAAGCCAATGCTGAAATTAGCGAATAGCATGAATGAATTTTGTATTACTGGCGAGTTCAAATAGAATTAAACGAAAGTAGGTAAGTCTCCGGCGCCATTTGAAAATCTCATAATGTCAAAATTTTGGAAATGCTTTGGAATAAGAGTCAACACATTCGTAAAGATCAGTTGTATGTGAGTAATTGTATTCGAGATTGAACATTTACCTTTCTTTATTATCTTTTATGTATGGTTTACCAGTATCTTGTATTAAGTAAATGAATGAAGATATTCAGTATTGTAGTGGAATTCGTTTTTACATTTAACCTTCATATTACTCCCGAAAAAAATATAGGTGGGCATTCCCAGAGATAGTATGCCATAACTATTTACAAAGTAAGCAGCTTTGATAATGAAGAAACAAACAATTATCACACAAAAAATCAAGTATACGAGATACAAGTGCACCTGGAAAGACTTTTAATCTTTCTCTGTATTGACAGCTCTCAAATCAAGGGAATGGAATGTTTAGCAATACGTGAATCCCCGTCCACTATCATATTTCCTTCGAGAAAATTCAAGAATGTAGTTAATTAATATTGACCTTTCGCACTTTACAAAACGCTTTAATTGATTTAGGATTTCCACATGTACTTGTGATAAGAATAAGGAATTCAGCATTGGAAAAACCAAAATCCAAAATCCATTATGCAAAGAACTCGCTTCCCTTCAGATCACTCTATCACTCTATTTAGGTGGCTCAGGACATCAATTTATGTCACTGCAGTGTCTCTGACTGGGAGCTCCTGAGGGTTGAGTTCCGACGGTGGCAGGATTTTCGAAATTGACTAGGTCGAATTCGCCGCTGGAGGATATACTTCAATGTAAAGATCCTCAAGTCTAAAGACTCATCTGAGATAAATTCAAATCGCCTGTTCGTCGCCCAAGAAATACCTCCTTTCTCCGCTAGTTGCTGAAACGACCGTAGCGAAATTTGCGTGGTCAGACGGATGAGCCAGCCTGATGGCCCGAGTCTCGCCACGTAAAATAAGGCAAAAATTCGATTAAATTCGATTCGGTTCCTTTCCGTTCCTTTCCGTCCAGTTACCTTCCGTTCCATTCCATTCCATTATATCCGACTCCATTCGATTCAATTTTTCATGGATTCTCCAATCAATACCAAATGAATGCCGGAGCAATACTTAAAAAAAGGGCCAGGGGCGCGCGATCCTCACTCTTCGTTGTCCTATCCTCAACGTACTCATTCTTACCCCACATGAGGGAGACCAGTCGAAATCTTAGATCTCCCCGGCTGGGGAGATGCTTCGATGGTGGGAGGTACCTGGTTTGGGAAAACCTCACAAGACGGCGGGTAGGTCGGCGCTGGGTCTCGTCGTACAGGGGGAATACACCGTCACCTCCCGCAATAATATCATCCACTACACTTACAGGACTAATGACCTTAGTATTTCCACGCTCACGTTTTTCAGCAAAAGAAGCGCGAGGAATTTGAATCCGCAAATTGGAAAACAGCAATTATTTTTTTTTAAAAATTCATTTAAACCATTTTTTTTTCAAAAAATGTACATTATTTAAATATCTAATTTTGAAGAACAGAATCAATAATTAAAACATCTCTATCATCAATTTTGTAGTTTTGCAATCTTAATGTTTTATAATTTCGGGAAATACAGAGTGCTACCCGAAAAAGGGACCTGCACCATGTTTATGAGTGAACGTACTCGAGAAAAAAGTTTAAAGGAAAAATTTGAGAAATTTCTAGAATTTGTATAAATTGCTTTTACTGCATGTAAAAATTTGGCGAACGATATTCTTTTTTTTTTCAAAAAATTATATTACATGACCTTATGTAAATATTTAATGTTTTAAAACAGATTGCCTATATTTCAGGAAAAAATATGAGAAAACTGCCGCTTATTTGGATAAATAAGCATGACCTTAAAGGTTAGTTTGGCTGTCTGTGAAGATTAGTTGTCTTTTTGATATTGTAGTTGTAGGATGACGCCAAAAACGTTTTACTAAGAGAATTTTTGAAAATTCAGAGTTCAAGGAAAATGCGACTTGCTCAATTATTAAGCGTCTTTTGCTCTATCCGTGGTATCTTCGATCAACACCAGGCGAATGCCAGAACAGTAGTACCCTACAAAACGGGCCACGGACCGCGCCATCTTTCCTTTCTCTTCTCTTTTCCCCATCCTCTACATACACATACACACTACGTGCGCTAAACTATCACACATGCTGGAAGACCAATCCGGAGCGTAGACCTTGTTCCGGTTGGAGCGGTGTCCTGCTGATGGGAGATACCCTTGGGGAAAACCCGCTAGCCGACGTGTTGGTCGGCGTCCAGCCTAGAAAGATCGCCGCCGCCTCTCGAAGAGAAAAGCGTGCACTACACTTACGTACTAATGACCTTCGCCGTTGAAACGCTCGGAAACAAGAAACAATCAACCAATCAAATCCATCCAGGTATCTCCCACCAGTTCAGCACCGTCGCAGCCAGGCACAAGCTCCCAGTTGGACTTTCGTCATGTGTGATATTGTAGTACATGGAAGAGTGTGCATAAGAAAGGGGTGAATATAAGACAAGGAAGAGGAAGGAAAGATCGGACGCTGTCCATGGCACGTTTGTTAGAGTACTCCTCCAGTATTCACCGGTAATGATAGGAGAAACAACACCGATCAGAGCAGCCGGCCGCGAGGATTATATCCCAGACGGCGGCTAAATTCGACCTAGCAGTCTAGCCAATTGGCGACCTGAATGGCCGAGATGGCTAAGAACGTGTGCCGATTCAGCGCTTCGATCCGAAGGGTCGAAATTTCGAATTCCTCCTTGGGCATGGGTGTTTGTCCCTTGTCTCCAATATTTGTGATGTCGCAGAGGGTCACGCGTCCTGCTGACCTCAGATTAGAAGCCCGCAAGTGTGTTGGTGTTTAGTGTATGATCGAATATGCCTCCTATCGCGTCGTAAAGGGAAAACCGGCTGACGGCGAGATAAAATCTCAACACAAAATATAGCAAATGTCAAAAATGCTGCCACCGTCGGGTCTTGAAAACTAGTACCTTCCTGCCAGAGGCACTACATTGACATCAGTTTATGTTCTTAACCACCAGAGCTGGTGGAGGTAATCGTCTTAGAGTCGATTTCTACACCAGCGAGTGAAGTTCAGACTAATTTGTTTGAGAGAACTTTATACTTGAGTACCGCGAAGGTGTTTCAGCACGCTGTGTGTTATCTGTGGGAATATTATCAGTATATTCCCCGATTTACTCCACGAACCAGTA